AACAAATACTTAGAGAATGCCAAAACTCTAACGAGTTGCCAAAGCTATCGCTGTATAACGTTACGGACTGAACTTTTCTATGTGGCAAGCAGGTATGGTTGGTTTCTTCTTGCTCCTTTGGTAACCAAACGTTTAACCTTAGTTCATTTACATAATCCTTCATTCATGAGTAACCTCTCATTTTAACTAATGACAAGATCTGCATAAGGCCTGGTATTGCTGCACAATACTCCATGTTGCCACACTTCGTATCAGCAAGATAAAAGGCACTATGGTAAAAGAGAGATAAAGGAAGAAGGTAATTAAAATGGTAGGAAGTCGTGAAAAGCGAACAATAACGATCGAAGCAATACTGCAATTCACTATGACCATCAGAATGAAGATAAGGTTTAGAGGTGTCTGTCGCTGAGGTCGATTTTGAACGATATCACCTGGAGTCTGTAACCACTGGCTTCTGTTGTCACTCAGACTGTAACCGAGAAGTTTACATTTGCACATAACACTGATATCCATAGCTGGAGACCTCATGCAATAATGGCATGTTTTAATATGGCGACTTGTATCCTTCACCTTTCTAAACTTACTTAAGCTAACGCTGTGCAACGGGACAGACTTTGACTATGTATTCATCACATACGTCCCAGCCGCCTGGTTTGATGACGGTTGATAACCTCATCAACTCACTTACCTTACCTAAAACCCTACGTCTGGCTTCTATGTTACTGGTGCAGTGGCACCGTGACAAATAACTTTTGTTACGAAGGCAGTGGCGGTCGACTACTTCATTTCCTCTACGTTTAGTGGTCATATTTCACAATAGATTACCTTTCATCTTTTGGACTGAAATCCATTTGTTGTTCACTCTTAATTCTGTTAAGTCGTGATGTAATGCGACCATCATGCAATGTTATCAGTGTGCATACATCTTTAGTTGACAAAAATAAAACATCATTTATATACAGTTTTCATCAACATCTAAAACTGCTAGATCAGAAGATGGATACTTATTTATTTTAGTCAACCGTGGGACAAAATTGTCCAATAGCAATATTCCTACCCACACAGTAACATGAAACAACGTTGAAATTCAAAACCTCCACCTTGGCGATTGATGATTTAGAATGTTGATTTCAGTTTAGGCTGCTTCCTATCACCATTCCGAAGTGACTCATTAATATGCAGTGTACCATGATTCAGTCGCTGGTTCTCGTTGGATTGTGTTGTAGATTTATAGTCAATAGGCAATGGTGTCATTTACAAAATATTCTTCTATTCCCTCCTTAGTATTTTGTCATCGACCTTCCTGACATTGAACACTGAACTGATTAACACTTATTGTACAATAATGACTGTTTTTGTTTCATACGTGTGTGTAATACAATTTTTTAACACTGTATTGACGTAGGTTTGTAAGCAAATTGATAATTTTTACTTACGTTTCCCTAAAATGCAAACAAAATTCATCATGAATATAGGAGCAAAACTTGGGCACTGTGGTTGATTGTAATTTCATTTTAGTCTGTTTATTAGAAATGTCACAGTGAAATAGTATCATTTACTGGATAATTAGTTGTACAAAAAATGTATAGTGAAGGATATCAATCAAAACAGATGTTTCAAATGAATAAATAGTTCTTAATCACTGATAAGTTGTAGTTTGTTTTTCAACAGTTCTCAGAAATCGATTTAGTTTTTCACTTCTGCTGTAGTGGGCCCTGCTAATAAGAATGAATATAAGTAGTATATATTGAGAGGGCCACAGAAATCATAGGCAACTACCAGCAATATGTAAAGATTCTGCCTAAAGAAACTCAAGAGACAATGTAGGCGTTTTAAGATCAAGTCAAGATAGAGGTAGAAAATGAAATGTGCAAATGACTGTTTTAGTGGGAAGCGTACAATATTTGATGACCGCTGTACAAGATGTTAATAACAAACATTCCTTCCTTCGTCTCCGTCGTCAACCATTCTCCCCCAAATCTCCTTTTCATTCGTGCTTTCCATGCCGTCATATGTCGCTTTCGTCCTACCACTCAGCAACGCGCGAAGTACCACAACCTTCGCTCCTGGATCGCGAACACCCACCAGCCTTGCGACAACTCGAAGTCCCTGAGGAAGATCGTGATGTCTTCATCCTTGTACACTGAAGGCCATGGAATCCTCATCACGTCCAGGAGCACCATTACCAATTGTAAGGAACGACTAGACTGAAACGCAGAAAAGAATGATTCTTGTACATTTTCCACTAAAACAGTCATTTGCACGTGCTTCATTTCCCCTTCTGCTTCTATCTCAATTTCATCCTAATGCGCTAACATTAGCTCTTGCGTTTCTCTGGCAGGATATTTACCCACTGCTGGTAATTGCCTATGACTTCTGCTGCCCTCTCAACATATACTACTTATATCCATTCTGATCAGCAGCGCCCACTACACTGCTACCATCACTTTATTTGCCTCATTTTTCTTTGCAAAATTGGGAACATAAAGAAGCAAATAAATTCATGGATCTGTTTTATATCAATTTAGGTTTTTGTATGTTAATCTGTTCTTGTTTGTGTACAACGTTCACATAATTGTGTATAATGTAGTTCGCAATTACGCTAATTACTACTAAATGTTCATTTCTGACATAGTAGGAGACAGTCTCATCAATGCTTAATTTCCTGTTGTAATGAAAAAGTGTTTAGTTTGAGGTATGTGGTTATTTCAACGTAGCATTCATCATGGACTGCCATCATTTGGAAAACTAGTGAAAACCTGGATGCACTGGGTAGCTGTTTCTCTCCTTGTATGGGATTCCTCAACAGTATGCACCCACATGCCCATCAGGAATCGAACTCAGGGCTTTCAGATCATGTCGAACGTTTTGATCATTCAGCCATTGGATCAGAATTTTAATGGTTTGCAATTTTCTACTTTTATCCACCCGCGGTGTTGCGCGATTATCTAACAAGGTCTTCAGTTGTCATCAGATTCACTTCTGACTGGTTTTTATTTCTTTATTTAGTTTCAACATCGACATTGTTTGGTGTATTTCTCATTCAATCCAATAGCTGACAGACATTAACGTCATAAAAGGTAGACTGACGGTATGACTGTCTAGTTTTGCATACCTCACATCTGCATCTTCAAGTGAAAGTAAAGGCGAAGTGAAAATAGTAATTCCAGAGCTTACAAACAAGCACCAGAAGAGGCCAAGTGATTCCGGAAATGAAGATCTATTATGATGTAGCTGAACATAGGTTAATTATTCAGTTGATTATTAACCGTCATCTGTTTGGATTGTCATCAGTCCTTCTAGTCAGGAAAGCTGAAATGAATTTCTCCACTCTTACTATTTTGACATTTTTTCCTGTCTGCGTAACCAAAAGTCTAGCCACCTCATTCTCTAGTATGGACATAAATATGGTAAACCACAATCATACAAAGCAACGATCTCAATTGATGCGTGTACAAGGGCTTTGAACTCCTTTGAATATCTGTGTTATTGTTGACGTTGATGCTTAGCCTTGAGGACTTATGCATACAGATTTTAGCTAAATGTCATCCAGTATTTGATTTAATTTCTCAATAGTTCCGTGTTGTCGCTTCCATTCTTTCTTCATAGAGTTACAAAAATGCTTGAAATTCTTCAGTAGAAAGAGTTACCATTTTGTTACCTGTTGTCAATTGAAATATTCTTGTGGTAGATGTATGTGTAGGTCACGTAGGTGGATTCTTGAAAATAACCTTAGGTTTCATCCCTGATGGTCACTCAGTTCCTCGAAAACAGTTAAGAAACGGCAGAAACGATAAACGCTTATTGTTCAGTCAAATATGTACAAAAGTTAACGGCTTACAAACATTTGTTGATGGCTTTGGAAAGTTACACCTTTCTAGAAAGCCTCCAGCCACTGCTTTTTGTTTTCGTACTGATCCTAACCGGAGAGTCTGTATCTTGCTACGCAGCCCAGACTAAAAGTCAAGGACTTCATGCAGTGATGCTATATTTCAGTCTCGTCGCCCATAACCTTTTCGCAGCGGAAACATACTTCAGTTAACGTTGTGCGACAAGGCAAACTGTAACTGGGGTGCATAATGCATCTTCTAGCCGCCCGAGCTGACGAAAGTTGACAACTTTATCCACTCACTTACCTCACCTAAAGCCCTACACCTGGCTTCAGTGTTACTGACTCAGTGGCACTATGACACATGACGTAAGCTACGAAGGCAAGGATGATCAGTTACTTGAAGCCTTCTCATTTCCCTCACTTTTAATGGTCATTTTTCACAACCGTATAGTAGAACAGAGCAAAATCCAGTGCAGTTCACTTCAATCTTAATAGACAGTTGGATAACACAGCGGTTCCATAAGTGGCGTAGGTGGTGACAGCGAATCAAGACGTTTGTATCAGTGCAGAGATTTCTTCGGTCACTGCCCCATCAGGTGCTGAAGTGAAGTGGTCAACGTACCAAACCACTTCACTTCCTACCGATAGACAGAGTCCTGAAGTAAAAAATTTCTTTTGGGTGGTGAGAAATGCACCCCAAATTGGCACTTAATGTCTTCGAAAGAATGTGGATCCTGTTAGTGTCTTTATCTATCGGGGATCATGTTAACTGCCTACTGTAAATCTAGTAAGCATCATCTTGCGATAAGACCAGATGAAGACCTCCATAAGTGCATCTATCATGAATCTGATTATGAAGATAGTAGACATCCTTGTTGGACACATCTCGATATACACAAACAACACAGGAAGCTTTTCTGTTCACTATTTCTAATTCGTTATTTTATCGGTTGTGATCGACTGGTAGCTTGTTACATCACAGTCTCTTCATTATTCTGGTTTCAGTTTTCCTCGGTAACTAAATTTATCAGTGTAATAATGGGTATTCCAACTTCTGTCGTTTTCTTACTTGTGATTTGAGGTTTTCCTTTTTATTAAATTAAGTAATTCTTTTGATATTTTTATTTATTTCAAAAATAAATCAAAAATGGTTGAACACGAAAATCAGGCAAGATTTGGGTAACGCTAGTGCTAATCATTCAACTGTAATACTACCAGTATACATGACTACTGACAAAGTGAGTGTTTGTATACATTTTATTTCTAACATAAAATATACCTTAATTGATTAATTAACTAATCAGTTTTTCGCTTTTTTTTCAATAATTAATTATACATCAGTAATGATTTATTACACTTTGTATTAACACTATGGTGGAGATACTGCTTTGTGAATAATTTTCTGTAATTGTCGTTTAAAGCCTACAATTTTAGTTATTATGCGTTGTTTAGAAGTACAGAAAAGGATGAGACAATCTTATCTTTTTATCCCATTCTCATTCTTTTGAATAGTTTTGTAAACAATGAAATTCATTCTTAAGCTTGTTTATCTATTATTTGTTACCAGTAGCCTTTAAATAGGAAAAACTATCGCTGTCTTCGAGTTTTGCTAAGTATTGTTTCATACTATTTTGTATGTTAAACTTTTATGTTGCTTAGATTTAGAGACTTGTTGGTTAATCTCACAGTTTTACTTCAATTAGTCTCGCATTTCATAGTAGACAGTTTTTCATAACCACTTTGGTTGTCACAGTATTCGATTTCTCAATGGGATGTACTTTCTACTGTTTCAGATGTTGTTAGAAGATTGTTTTCTAACTCTGTTCAATTATGACAGTCACCTTTACTAACATGGAATTCGTTCCTGTGAAGGGAATGCTAGATGATTAATTTCTTACAGGATGGAAAAGCGGGTAGGGGGTTATGAATTTACAAATCTATTTAGTTTTACTAAATCGTCATTATCATCATCATTGTCATCACTGAATGCAGAGTAACCAGTTATCTTTGTGAATTATATATAAGTGCTTTTGGATGTCTTTTCAACAGTTTGACTATAAGGATTGGTTTCGTTTTGTCTTCCTTGTTCTTTTTTTTTATCCTCCATATTATCCTTTTTACTTACGAAATTTGCTCATTTTTTTCGTTTGAGTACCATCTAGCCTTGTGTGATAATAAGTATGCTATATGAAAACTTTTTATTTTTCCCAGTTATACTTTAAGGTCATCGATAATTTTACTACTATTTTCTACAAATAAATAATATCAGTTTTTAGTGTAAGTGAACATTTTATTGCATATTCATGTTTATAGTGGAATGATACCATTAATTAGTATTGTGTTTTCACAACGTTAATCAATTGTTCCAATCTGAACTGATTAGTGCGAGAATACTGATTTCATTTGATTCTAACCATAATGAGGAGCAGATTAAATGCTAATTTGACTAAGAGTCTTCGCAACGACCCTGAATAGTGGTAGTTGAAGAACGTATCAGCATTAAATAGTTTTCGGCAATAATTTAGCTTTATTCGGAACATTGACAAGAAGAAGACTATGGTTAATGAGATCATTGGCGAAAAAGATGAATGTCTGCAACCCTTTCAGGATAGTTAGCTGGGACGTAGGGGGGGGGGCACTTTGAAGAACAGTTCTACTGGCCCACAGACACATTTCACTTTCCCAGCATCATACACGAACCTAAGTGCGATGCAGAAGACGGTTCCTCGAAGTAGAGAAGTTTTTTTCAGCCCGGATTGATGCAGATCAGCCTGCATTTGCAAGCTTCTAATGGATGTGAAAGGTTGTAGATGAGAGTAACGGAGATACTAGGTAGTGTATGAAAATTAGAGGTAGTCCCGTCAAAATGGTCTGTTTCACTGATCATTCCAGCCCATAAGAAGCGAGAGAATCCTTCGTATGAAAGCCATAGTTAGTATTGCTCCGATTAACATCGTGTCCAAGATCCTGGGGGTCATAGTTATCTGATGGCTAACTATAGCTGCAGGAAGCCAGGCAGTTTTCAGATATGGACGAGGGTGCATCAACCAAGTCTTTACCTGTAGACAAGTATGGGAGCGCAGATATACTGATAAATGTCCAAAACTTTCTATATTTCCTGACTTGAAGGCCGCACTCGACTGTGTCAGTTGAGATGTGTTGTGAAAGTAACTGACTACACTTTGTTGACCTAAGTAGGATGCTGTTAAAAGAAGTTCGGCGATGGTCAAAACAAGCTGTGGTATCATTTCTTGATATCTTTGACTGTCGGTCAAATATACGTTAAGACGTTTACGCTGCGTCACTGGAGCTTTGTAGACGATAGGAATCAATGATTGATAACGTTGTGCTAAGGCGTAAAGTCAGTAACAGTAGCCCGCATATATAAACTTTTGTAATCTTTGAATACCTGGGCATGTTCGTTAAACTTTGATTGTTGACCTGATCTCGTATCTCACACTTTTGTCTACTTCAGTGTCCTTCTGAGAACCCTAAAGGTACCTTCGAGACTAATCTACATCGATATCTCATCTTACAATAAGCGTCAAATGATTTAGTGTGTCAACAACTTCGCACACCGAGCGTTCCATCCATTATTATTATTATTATTTGTCCTTTCGGTTCCTGGAGGAACATAGGGCTTCAGTAGCACGTCGCCACTTCACTCTGACCTCTGCAGTCTTTTGCACATGGCTCCACAACTGAACACAAGCTTTCATTCCTTCCTCACACCATCTCCTCCCACCACTCTCGGACTCCCAGCTCGTCGTTTCCCATCAGGGTTCCACTCGAGGGCTTCGTCTTGTGAGTGATGCCACCAGTCGGTCTCCTCACTCTATGTCCAGTCAAATCCATCTCCACCTTCTTCTGCATATTTGTTGAGCAACAGGTTCTTGGTTGTTCGTTGCCAGACCACAGTCAGTTCCTTGTTGCTTATTATTATTATTATTCTGGCCATCTGATCTTCAGTGTTACTATCGTGTGAGCGTGGGTGACAGCTGTTCATCATGCATGTCTGTAGTTTGTTGAAAATGCTTTTCGTAACGCGCCACCAAGTCTCTCAATCATCACAGAGAACCACTGACTTGATATGACATTAGTGTTGACAATCCGGATATTGTTCACACTTTATGCCGAGTGCAGTGCAGTGCAGTGCAGTACAGTGCATTGTAGTGCACTATAACTCCACACTGGTTTCAGATTAATCAATGCCTGTCTTGCTGTCTTTCCGATCCTGGCTTAGATATCCTCATATCTGCCACCGCCACCGCCTATAATTGGAACGATGATGCTTAGGTGACTGGTGAAAGAGACAACTTCCTTTCGATTTCTGCCGTTTGTGGTGGTTGGTGCCTGTTGTAGCTTCTTCATCTATGTTTTCTCCTCGTTCACCTGAACGAAGTCCAGTCTTCGCTGCCCCGCCTCGCTTCTTCTGCGTGTGTCGATCTTCGAGTTTGTGTGCCAAGACAGACATAAATCATCATCGTGGGGAAATTCAATCCAGAGCACCTTTTAGTCTCTCCAGGATGATGCGGCTTGATATTTTGCCGGATGTGGACAGCAGCATGATTTCCTCTTTGGGACTTTTACGAGGTAGCCCTTCTTGCAATCAATCTGCAGATACCTTTCCTTCCTTCCTAACAAACCGTCTACAATAGTGGTGTGAGCATGTCCGCTAGTGTCTCTACGTCTGTTTTCATTGTTACTGGCGGACTTCTATCTGGTCCTGCTTCTTTCTCGGCTCTCAGTAACTTTATGGCGTTCAGGACTTCACTTCTGCTTTTGTCGGAGGGCTTGTGTTCACGGATAGTTCTGTGACTGGCTGCTAGTGGTATTTCTAGGTGAGTTGCTGGTGGTGGTGGTGGTCGACTCAAGAGTTTTTTGAAGTAGTTCGCCCATCGTTTCCTTTGTTGCTCCTCTTTGGTAACTGGCTTTTCTTCACTAGCTTTCATTAGTTTCATCTGAGTTGATCTCTTCCCTCTTATATAGTAACCTAGTTATTTGATATAGTGTTGTCAGGTTTCTGTCTCCTACCTGCAGCCTGTTTTGCTTCACTTGCAAATGTGTCCTAGAAGTGAGTTTTGTTTTTGCAGGCAGTCTTCTTCACTTCTTTGTCCAGTGTAGTGTTTTATAAGTTATGTTCAGTCCGCCTTTTCGTTGTTAATCCTTGCAATGCACTGCACTGGTTCATCTTCTGCTTCACCATCTTCCTCTCCCTCCTCTATCAACTTCGCATGTGTCCGTCGAGATCCATTCCTCCTCTTGTTTTCTCTTCCTTCCTTACATGGTTATGCAGGTTTCTTCCCACATCTCTTTCAAAGAGTCTCAGTGTTTTTCCTCGCCCGATCCTTCAGGGATATTGCTCAGTGTCTCTCATTTTGTTCTTATGACTGACGTGGAGATGTCCTTTTTAGTTTCGTCCTTCAGTTTCTGGGTGTTGAACTTGAATTGTGGTCTATCACCAACTTCTGTGAAGGCGTTCAACTTGATTTTGAAGGTAGGTTTCTTGAACTGGTTAATGAATGGTGTGAACCTACATCTGCTCCCCTTCTTGAGCTTGTGTCAAGTAGGCCGCGTCTCCACTTTCTTGAGATTGAGATGAAGTCGTTCTGATTTTAGTGTGTCCATCTGTTGAAATCAACTCTATGTCGCTTGTGAATATCCTTATGTTTGTACAAACTTCTTCCAATCATGAAGTATTAAAATGTGCAAAAGGCTGCAAACAGTTCTCCATTTCCATTCATTTCACCGAGTGCCTCTCAACCCATTATTGGTTCTCTTCCTGTGTTGTGTGCTCCCAGTTTGCCATTTACGTCACCCATTAAAATTCTAATGTCGCCAACTGGAGTGGGGTCTCGTTCATACTGATTGCAGTTGTCTGTGGAATTCCTTCTTCTGTTGATCAGCATTATTTATAGGCGCGTATCATTGTATGATTGTGAATTTTCTTCCTTTTGATTTGAACCTTGCTGTCATGATCGTGATCCTGCAGGAGGAGATTGGTTCCCACTACATGAGAGAGAGCCTTCGATGTTGCTGGGAACATTGTGATAACCACTCCAAAAATCAGTGTGCTCGTGGTTGCTTTTGTCGTCCTGGTGACAATTTCGGAGTAGATTATTGACTCTCTGGTTAACAGTTTAAAGAGTCCACTTTCATCCTGTCTGGAGATTCTTCGCAGATTCCTAGCACTTCTGTGCTATACGTTCTCATCTCGTTTGCAACCTGGGCTGCTTTG